GCTGCTCGGTGACCTCTCCTTTGTAATTTTTTGCATTCTACGTGATTAATTCCAGAATACAAAAATGGGAGCATGCTTTGCCAACTTGTTTTATGTGCTAGAGTTTCAGTGCAATGCCAAGAAAAATTCAAGAACTTTCTTCTATGGAACTTGACTCATGGATGTTAAAATTTCTATAGAAGAGCAAAGTGTCAAAGACAATCCTTCCTGAAGAACAACAAAATTGAGAGGCTTTAATGATTAAGACAGTGTGATGGGGGCTTCCTTGGTGGCGCAGTGGTTAAGAATCCGCCTACCAGAACACTCTATGACAAAATCACAGCAAGGTCCTTTCTGACCCACCTCCTAGAGAAGTGGAAATAAAACCAAAAATAAACAAATGGGGCCTAATGAAATTCAAAAGCTTTTGCACAGCAAAGGAAACCATAAAGAACCCTCAGAATGGGAGAAAATATTTGCAAATGAAGCAACTGACAAAGGATTAATCTCCAAAATTTACAAGCAGCTCATGAAGCTCAATATCAAAAAAACAAAAAACCCAATCCAAAAATGGGCAGAAGACCTAAATAGACATTCCTTCAAAGAAGATATACAGACTGCCAACAAACACATGAAAGGGTGCTCAACATCAGTAATCATTAGAGAAATGCAAATCAAAACTACAATGAGATATCATCTCACACCAGTCAGAATGGCCATCATCAAAAAATCTACAAAGAATAAGTGCTGGAGAGGGTGTGGAGAAAAGGGAACCCTCTTGCACTGTTGATGGGAATGTAAATTGATAACAGCCACTATGGAGAACAGTATGGAGGTTCCTCAAAAAAACTAAAAATAGAACTACCATACGACCCAGCAATCCCACTACTGGGCATATACCCTGAGAAAACCATAATTCAAAAAGAGTCATGTACCACAATGTTCATTGCAGCTCCATTTACAATAGCCAGGACATGGAAGCAACCTATGTGTCCATCGACAAATGAATGAATAAAGAAGATGTGGCACATATGTACAATGGAATATTACTCAGCCATAAAAGGAAACAAAATTGAGTTATTTGTAGTGAGGTGGATGGACCTAGAGTCTGTCATCCAGAGTGAAGTAAGTCAGAAAGAGAAAAACAAATACCATATGCGAACACATATATATGGAATCTAAAAAAAAGAAAAAGGGGTTCTGAAGAACCTAGGGGCAGGACAGGAATAAAGATGCAGATGTAGAGAATGGACGTGAGGACACGGGGAGGGGAAGAGTAAGCTGGGACGAAGTGAGAGGGTGGCATGGACATATATACACTACCAAATGTAAAATAGCTAGTGGGAAGCAGCCGCATAGCACAGGGAGATCAGCTCGGTGCTTTGTGACCACCTAGAGGGGCGGGATAGGGAGGGTGGGAGGGAGATGCAAGAGGGAGGGGATATGGGGATATATGTATATGTATAGCTGATTCACTTTGTTATATAGCAGAAACTAACACACCATTGTAAAGCAATTATACTCCAATAAATATGTTAAAAAAAAAAAAAAAGGAATCCGCCTGCCAATTCAGGGGACACAGGTTCGGTCCCTGGTCTGGCAAGATCCCACGTGCACCACAACTACTGAAGCCCGCTCACCTAGAGCCTATGCTCCGCAACAAGAGAAGTCACCGCAATGAGAAGCCCGTGCACCGCAACGAAGAGTAGCCCCCGCTCGCCACAACTAGAGAAAGCCCGTGTGGCAGAAACAAAGACACAACGCAGCCCCACCCCCCAAAAAAAAAAAAGTGTGGTGTAGGTGGAGGGATAAACAAGTGCAGAGGCCAAAAAACGATTCTAACTGTTCTATGTTTGCCCCTCATGTTTGCTCCTAAACCCACTCTAACCAGGCTTGCCCCCCTCCCCCGATGACTGCATAACAACGTCCCTTTAGGTCATCAGTGATCTTGACAATGACCTAAATCCCGTTGTTAATTCTCAGTCCTCATCTAACCTAACACACTTTCTCACTCCTTAAGCTTTCTCAACACCGCATTCTCTTGGTTTTTCTCTTACTTGAGTGATCACTTCTCTGCCTCCTTGCTCCTTCTTCCTCTTCTCCCCAAACATTTGGTGTTGGGATTTCCCATGGCTCACTCCTCAGTTCTCTCTCCTTTTCTCCTCTATACACATTTCTTTTCTAGGGCCATCCTGTCTCCAGGTTCTAAACACCATCTCTATGACCATGAGTCCCAGATTTATATACCCAGCCCAGTCGAGACTTGAATATCTACCTGCCTATTCGGCGTCTCCACTTGGATGTCTGATATCTCAAACGCAGCATGTCCAAAACTCCACTTCTGATCTTTGCCACCCCACCAAGCCTACTCCACCTATAGTCCTTCCGGTTACTCAGGGCAAGCATCTTGGAGTTATCCTGACGCCTCTCTTTTTCACATTGCACGTAGAATCTCTCAGGGACTCCTGTTGACTCTACCTTCAAAATACATCCAGAATCTGAACGACTTCTCACTACCTCTGCTGCTATGACCTGAGTTGGAGACCCCCATAAGTTCTCCCCCGGATTATTATTACAGTAAGAATCTTGCTTCCAACCGTGTTCTTTGTAGTCATAGCAACAGGAGTGATCCTTTAAAAAAGTAATAGCAACAGGAGTGATCCTTTAAAAAAGTAAGTCAGATCATGTCAGTCCTCACTCAAAACCATTCAGTGGTTCTGTTTCACTCCCGCTTGAAGCCAGATGCCTTTGTGCAAGGTCTCATATGATCTGGTCTCCGTCTCTTTCGCTCTCACCTTCTCTCTTGCTCCTCTGCTCTGGCCACGCCGGCCCCTCGCTCTTCCTCACATCTGCCAGGAAGCTCATTCCTTACGGCCTTTGTACTGGATGCTGCTTTTGCAAGGGAAACGCTTCCCCAGGGATCTTCCAGGTCAGCTCCCTCATCTCCTTCCATTTTTACTCAAATGTCATCTTCCCAAGAGGCATACCCTGATCACCGTATTTACAGTTGCAAGTCATCTCCTCACTCCACATACACAAGACTCTCCATCCCTTTGCTCTGCTCTTTTTAAAAATAACACCTATCACCTAACATCTTTTGATAGACTATATAATTTGCTTATTATATGTGTTTATTATCTGTCATCCCCTACCAGGATGTGACACAGGGATAGGGATCCTTGTTTGTTTTGCTGACTGATGATTCTCAGAAACCTAGAATGGTGCCTGGCTCATGTTGGCACTCAGTAGCTATTTGAATGAATGAATGAATGAATAAGGCAGATAGGATGGATTGGAAAGAGGAGAGTCACAAAGGTAAAGGGAATGTTCTATTTCTTAAACTGGCAGTATGTTCATACATGTGCCCTTTATTTTTAAAATTTTACTTATGTATGTATGCATAGTGGTTTATAATCAATATTTAATTACATAGTAAAAAAACAAAAAAAAGAACTTGATTGTCCAACTTGACTGACTCCCTAAGGGTTCCACAAAGCTGAGTTTTCACTGCACCTAGTATATTATTATCGCTGAATAGAGGACACCAGTGTTTCCATTGTCTCTTTCTTTTTGCTCCTTGAGACAGGCCATCAATGGCTCTGGAATCCAGTCGGAGGATGGTAACTCAAGAGAAGAACATGTTTTGAAGAGTTCTTAAAAGAACCTTCTAGACTTAGAGGATAAAATGGAGCACAGTATATCTTTTCTCTCCTCTTCTTCTGATTTCTTATAATGACTATAATGCCAAATTATCTCGGCTGCAAATGCACACCGATATTGGACCTCACTGCAGTATTTCCCTGCTGACACACTGATAAACAGGGCTCTCCGCAGCAGACAAGAGCACTCGCTGTTCTTAAGCTGCTGTTTCCTTTGTACCTTTGTGTTTCTCATAGTCGGGAAATTAGAAAGAAAAAAAAATCCTGCCCAGTACATTTTTCTTTCTTTTCTTTTCTTTCTTTTCTTTTCTTTTTCTTTTGGCCACGCCACAGGGCTTGTGGGATCTTAGTTCCCCAACCAGGGATCACCAGGGATCGAATGGGGCCCTCAGCAGTGAAAGTGCAGAGTCCTAACCACTGGACTGCCAGGGAATTCCCCCCAGTATATTTTTCTAAAATTTGTTTTTGTTCTTTATTTGGAAACTCATTGATTTCACCATGAAAATATTTTCGAGGAGAAAATAAAAAATCAAGGGATTTACATGAAAAAATAGCAAATAATTTTTAAATGTAATTTTATGCAAAAACAAGCTACAGTGTTTTGGGGCCTCGAATTGCTATACGTTGTTGCATTGTTAGACATTTCAAATCAGTAACTTCCTTAAAACTAAGTTTGCCGTTTCTTCCAGTCACTTTGCCCCACTAAGTTTGCCGTTTCTTCCAGTCACTTTGCCCCACTAAGTTTGCCGTTTCTTCCAGTCACTTTGCCCCACTAAGGCTTCTACGTAAATATAGAGTCCGAAATGAACTCCTCGGAAGACCAGAAAATGCAGTTCCAGTTCTTTGAAAATTTAATCAAATGTGAATCAAAACCCCATTCTGTGTCTGCAGACTTGGAGTGACACTGGGTTTGTTCCCCTGGAGAATGGGGTCAACTTGAAGAGTCCTGTGCTTTTACCCTAATTCGGGGTGTTTGCAGAGCGTATTCAGAATCTAAGTGGCCTAACGAGGAGAAAAGAGACAAACTACCACCAGCCTTTTTCATTCCTGATGGGCTGTGCGTAGAGACCGGTGGGGAGACCAGAGAGGTCTGAAGAAACAGCTGCCTGCCTTCCAGGTTTTTAGGAATCATGCAGAGGACAGAGATACATATCAAAAGAAATCCCAAGTGAGGTCCGTGCTCCGGGGAGACAGACCTCTCTGGATTTCCTGCAAACAACCTCTTGAGAAAGAATAGGGCAGCGAGCCAGAGGCGGAGTAGAACTCATTTGAATTCCTGTCCCTTAGCTTTGCCCAGCCAGGCGCCGCGTGCAGGGCGGGCGCCGCTCACCGCCCAGCCCCGCCCTCCAAGGGCAGCGACCAATGGGAGACGGCCGGGCCCGAGAGCACTGCCAATGGGAACCGGCGGGCGGAGGCGCGCTTCTCTTCAAGGAGCGTCGGGGCGCGGCGTCGGGGGAACCCAGCGCCTGGGGTGGCGCAGCGTTCGGGCGTCGCGCCACCGTGTCCCCGCAGGTGAGCTGGGGGTGCGCCGGCCGCGGGGGATGGGGAGACGCGTGCTTCCTGAAGGGAAGCGCTCGAGTGGGGCGTGGGGCCGGCGTGATACCCCCCGGATGGCACGGCGCTTCGGGCAGCCCAGGGTGCTCGCCCCCGCAAGCCGTCTGATGGGACCCCCGAGACACGCCCACCCCATCGCGGCCGCCCCGTGGTTGCCGGTAGCCAGCGGCGGTGCCAGCTGTTGACGGCGAGCCTAGCTCCCTATGGCAACTCTTGTGAACCCCGGGGATTGGTCAGACGCAAAATAGGCATGGGCCGAGGGGGAGGGCGGGCGCCGAGTTGCTCCGGGAAGACCCAGCGGGCCCTGATCCTCCGGCTCTTCCCATCCTGGAGAAGAAGGTGTGGGCGCCTGCGGTCTCACCCGTGCCCCTAGCTCCTTGGTGTGTCCAGGGGCTCTCCCAGGCAAGTGCAGTCTGGAAAACCACGATCTAAAAATACTGTTTTTATGATCTTTGGGAAAAAAATGTTCCGTGTGGAAATTTGCAGGAAAGCACAAATATAAGGTAAAACCATCAGGTATTCCTTCACCCAAGTGATAACCACGTTAACTGTCTATGTGCGCATGTGCATATATATGTGCGTGTTTATACACATACCGATTTTGCTATTTATATAGTTTTGTTCTTTTTTTTTTTGTATTATGAGCGTTTTGTCAAAACTAAATATTCTTTAAAATGTTTTAAGTGTCTGCATTGGGTGCATGGCAGGATGCACCTGATGTGAGTGTTGGTGGTGACACGGGGGTCACTGCTACCTTAGGGGCGGCGTCAGGGGGCCTTGTGAAACCTGAAAACATGAACAGAAGGTCTGAGGAGAGGCCTTAAGGCAGTTGTTTTGAAGAGCCTCGAGCACAGTCGCGGGGGAAATCAAATGCACGCACATTCAGCCGGGATGCTGAGGACCCAGCTCCTGGAGAGTCAGCTCAGCGGAGGCTGAAATTGCTCACCAGAAGCATTGAGCCCAGCTCTACAGCAGCGCGGGAACATGAAACTTTCCCTTTGGCCCAGAATGCTTGGAATCGAATGTAAACAGCTGTACCTCTAAAGCTGTTGCTCACCTATGGTAACTTTCAGGCCCTCCTAATATCCACTCACGTATCATGCATTCCTTCAACAAGAGGGTACAGGGCTCAGATGGGTTCCTACCACCTGCCAAAGCTCTTGCTACCAAGATGAATGTTTGTGCCTGTCCTCTAGCATGGTTGCGTTGGGGAACAAATAAATATGTTTCCAGCAGACTTTGTGCCGGGTCCTAATAAATGCTGTCCGGGGCTGCCTGGAACCCTTCCCTGCCTCTGTCCATTCCCCAGGCGCTGACCCCACAGGCTCAGCTAAGCACCATCTCCTCTGCGAAGCTTCTTCCACACCCGCTGCTGCTCCTTCCTCTGTGGTCCCAGAGCACCCACTGCTCCTCCGTTAGAGCAAGTATCCCATGGTCACTGTGACCTGCTCATCTCCCGCTAGACGCCTAGATCTGTGAGAGCTGGCTGCCCTGCTCATCCCTGTGTGCTCAGCCAAGGCCTGGCCCATCAGGGGTGTTCAATGCGTGGCGAATAGTATGATACAAGTGATGAGCTCTGGGTGGGCAGAGTTAACAGAATGAAATCAAGAATATTTACGTTATTAATCTTGTTTAATCCTCACACTTCCCTGCTGAGGTTGATATTATCCCTTTTTTGGCTGAAGCTGAATCTCAGAGGAACTTCATTGCTTGTGCAGAGTCCCATGGCAGTGTGTCTCAAAGCCAGATTCAAATCCAGGATCCTGATGCAAGGCCGATGTTTTTCCCACGGCAGCTCGTCATGGTTGGACTGGGGGAGCTGTACATTGGAACTACCACGTACAGCAGGAGTGTATCAAGTCGGGACGCCAGGGAAGGGCATGCTGGAGAGGAAGAGCGGTCCTGGGCCCTGCTCTGGAATGGGCTTCTCTCTACCTGGGGAGGGAGGAGGGAGGGGACCCCTGAAATTGCCTGGGAAACTGTCAGGGGCTGCATTCTTGGGTGCAGCGGGTCCGAGACATTCATGGGATCGCCAAATGGTTCCCTACCCTCAAAACGTGAAGCACAATTTTCCAGAAACTCCTTCCTGGAAGGCAGGGACTTAGCATGGTTTTTAAGAAGCCTTAGAATTCTAATCGAGGCTTAGCTTGCCAAAAGGAACTGAGTTGCTGTCATTGGAAAATGGCATGAGACTTGACAGCAAACAACACCTGAGATGCCTGCCAACCCTGCAGGGGAGGATCCCTATACCTCTGGACAGCCTAGCCCTGCTCTGCCCTTAGGAAGCTGAGGGCAGTAATGTAGCATTTTAACTTTGTCCTTGTTATAGACACGATATGTGCACATTATAGGAAATTTAGAGAGTACAGACAGTAAACAAACAAACAGGAAACTTACCAATAATCAGAGGCAATTAGTATTGACACGTTTTAGTATATATTTTCTATTCATTTTTTTCTAAAAACTGAGTGTATACTAACAATGCTGTATCCTTTGTTAAATCATAAAAGGCACTTTTCACATCTTGCTTCATTGCAAGTACTTTTTGCATTTTATTCTAGAACTTTTTTTTTTCAAAAAGCCTTGTAATAAAAATTATAACAGCTGTACTTTATTGAACACTCATTATGTGCCAGGCACTATTTAAAATATTTTGCATGTGTTGTTGTCAACTTATATCCTCATAAATAAGTTTTACAAGTGGGTGGGTGGTGGTACTGTAGCATATTGTCCCATATTTCAGATGAAGAAACAGACACACAGAGGTTAAGTAACCTGCCCAAGACCACCACCCACCCAGCTCTTAAGTGCTGAAGCTGAGAGTCAAACCAAGGCAGTCTAGGTCCAGGGCTTGTGTTCTTAACCATGATATTATCTATAAAGCAGCTGACAATTTCCTAGAAAAAAACTCAGATGAGGCAGGGGATCTGTGCTTCATCCTAGTCACATGTACCCACACTTCTCAGATCCCCATAAAGATCGATTAGGTGGCTGGGCTATTTTCAAGGATATTTAGGGTAGAGACCCTGGTCTCTGGCTTACAAGTGATTTTTGTTCATCGCAATACAACTATTCTAGTTGTGCTACTGTCCTGTCTTTGGAGCTTGATGGAAGTTTTACCCAGCAGCTCTGCTGAGATCACAGGGATTCTGATGTCACAGTGGTCTCTCCACTTTCTCTACCAGGTCTTTGGATCAAAAGGGAGCTCTGGCTTCAGAGAAGGAAAGTAGGGGGTAGGGGTAGAATGCTTCTTTGAACCTCTCTTGTTTCATACCCAGGCTGCTGACAATTCCCGCTCACTCCTGATTCCAAACAAATAACACAAGAATGGAAAAAAGAAAAGAATGGGAAAAAATGGAGAAAAAAAAAGAATGGAACAATCCCATTGTTCAAAGTAATCAGCAAAGCCTTTGTATATAAACTAAGAGGTTAAAAGGAGAAAGGAATAAATCTGCTAGGAGCACCTTATCCCTATGTGGAACAGTACAGGGGAAGGGGATGGCTGCTGGCCGAGCCCCGGGCTGAGAACCCTGGGCCAGCCCTAGCGGCTTGGGAACTAAGCAGGTCGGGGTTTTCAGAGGTAAGTCATGAATGGGGAGGACAGGTTTATTATTCAGTGTATTTATATACAGAATTTCCGGGAAGTCAGTTTCTTTTCACTAATCAGCTAAGTTGACTGAACAACTTCTCTTTTCTGGAAATCAATGGAAATAAGTCTTAGAAGTTTTGGTCTCAATTTTTAAAGGAATCTATACAGGCAACTCAGCGCAATCAGAAGTACTGCCCTCAGAAACTAGCTAGTCCACTCAATAGGTATAAGTAATACTGCTGTTGAAGCGTGTGGGCAGAGAGGCACTGGGAGGTGAATGCCCTGGACAAAGATACTCATTGGCAGCAAAGCTACTGCATACAGCAAAGTGTAGATTTTGGAAGAAGAGGAGGACGTGCTCATGAGGGTGATCAAGAAAGTGAAGGTAATGCCATCTAAAAAAATTAATAGAAACTTGTATTTATATACTTCTAACTTATGAGAAAAACTTTGCATTGGAATTTCTCAGATATAATTTTTTTGCATGTTTTTCTTTTACCTTTTCACCATCTTCAACCATTCTTCCCCCCACCTCTGGCAACTACCGATTTGCTCTCTGTTTCTATTAGTTTCTTTTTATCTTTAGATTCCACATATAAGTGAGATCATACAGTATTTATCTTTCTGCGTCTGACTTATTTCACTTAGCATAATGTCCTCCAAGTCCATCCATATTGTTGCAAATGTCGATAGCTCCTTCTTTTTTTTTTTTTCTTTTATTTTTGGTGGTACGTGGGCCTCTCACTGTTGTGGCCTCTCCCGTTGCGGAGCACAGGCTCAGCGGCCATGGCTCACGGGCCCAGCCGCTCTGCGGCATGTGGGATCTTCCCGGGCCGGGGCACGAACCCGCGTCCCCTGCATCGGCAGGCAGACTCCCAACCACTGCGCCACCAGGGAAGCCCGATAGCTCCTTCTTTTTTATGGTTGATTAATATTCTGTTATATTTATATAATGGAATATTTTATATATATATGTATATATATATATACATACACACACACACACACACACACACACACACACATATATATATATATATATATATTACATTCTTTATCCATTCATCCATCAATGGATACTTAGGTTGCTTCCATGTCTTGGCTATTGTAAATACAGCTGCAGTGTACACAGTGGGTGCAGATATCCCTTTGAGATAGTGATTTCATTTCCTTTGGATAAGTACCCAGAAGTGGGATTGCTGGATCATATGGTAGTTATTTTTTAAATTTTTTGAGGAAACTTCATACTGTTTTCCAGAGTGGCTGCACCAATTTACAGTCCCACCAACAGCGTATAGGGTTTCCTTTTCTCCACACCCTCCTCAACATTTGTTATTTCTTGTCTTTTAGATGATAGCCATTCTGACAAGTATGACGTGATATCTCACTGTTGTTTTGATTTACATTTCCCTGTTGGTTAATGATGTGGAGCATCTTTTCAGGCCACCTGTATGTCTTCTGTGGAAAAATCTCCTGGCTATTTTTAAATCAAATTGTTTTCTTTTGCTTTTTTTTTTTTTTTTTGCTTTTGAGTCATATGAGTTCTTTATATATTTTGAATATATATATTCAAAGGCCCCTTAGACATATGATTTGCAAATATTTTGTCCCACTCAGCCTTTTCATTTTGTTTATGGTTTCCTTTGCTGTGAAGAAGCTTTTTTTGTTCGATGTAGTCCGTTTTGTTTATTTTTGCTTTAGCTAGTTTTACTCTTGGTGTCAAATCCAAAATAAATCATTAAGATTGATGTCAAGGAGCTTATTCTCTGTCTTTTTCTAGTAGTTTTACAGTTTTAACCCTTACGTTCAAATTTTTAATTCGTTTTGAGTTGATTTTTGTATATGGTGTAAGGTGGGGTCCAGTTTCATTTTTTTTGCATGTTCTCTTCAGTTTTCTCAGCACCGTTAATTGAAGACACTGTCCTTTCCCCATTGTATATTCTTGGCTCCTTTGTCATAAACTACAAAGGGTTTATTTCTGGGCTCTTGATTCTGTTTCACTGATCTATGTGTCTTTTTATGCCAATACCATACTGTTTTGCTTAATATAGCTTGTAATATTGTTTGAAATCAGGAATTATGATGCCTCCAACTTTGTTCTTCTTTCTCAAGATTGCTTTGGCTTTTATGGTTCCATACACATTTTAGGATTGCTTTTTCTATTTCTGTGAAAAATGCCATTGGAATTTTGTTAGGGATTGAGTTGAATTTGTATTGATAGATGACTTTGTGTAGGATGAACATTTTACTACTATTAATTCTTCCTATCCATGCACATGGAATATCTTTCCATTTATTCATGTCTTCTTCAGTTTTTAAACATAGATAAATTAAACATTTTAAATATTAACTCATTGTTGACCAGGAGATTTTTGCAGAAACTAACGCCTGTGGCCAGCGATTTGTTATGTAAATGAATATTGAAATGTCTCTGGTCAATAACATTCGGGTAACAAAAGATGTGTTAATACATCTGTGGTCAGTAATGTGTTAAGAATTTTATTTAGTTCTCCATATCTAATACGTGGGTACATTGTCTATGTAGCAGGTAAGGACCAGGGGAAGTGTCCACGAATTAAAATAGGTTAGGATAATTCTGGTGGAACCAGAGCAGTAATAGTTCATTTCTGTTTGAAAGCTCCCTCCTCCTCTTTACTTTTCCCCAAAGCAGATGGACCTGCTGAAAGTTAGCAAATGCACACTTTGTGCCTTTTTGCTTTAGGCTGATTTTGAAAAGGCGGCCAAAGACATGAGGAAGCTGAAAACCAGGCCAGATGATGAGGAACTAAAAGAACCCTATGGGCTCTACAAACAATCTGTAATTGGAGATGTAGATACTGGTACTGGGTTGTCATTTAAAAAATAACAATACGTTTCACTGAACAGTATTTCTAGAAGCATAGAGTAAAAAGTAACCCTGAAAATATATCTGTCCTCCTTTTGGCGAGTGTCCAGGACTGTTAAATCTAAAAGGCAAGGCTAAGTGGGAAGCTTGGAACCTCAACAAGGTGGTTAATTTTTAAATAAGTGAAACAAACCTTCTTAATTTCCCAATAACATCGGTCAGTGAGTCAATCTGTTTGTATCTTTCTAGGATTATCAAAGGCAGATGCCATGAGTGCCTGTATTTCTAAAGCAAAAGAGCTAATAGAAAAATATGGAATATAGAATTCAGTATGTGAGAAAATTTTCCTTTTGAAGACTTCATAATGGTACCATGACCTAATATTTTGGGGAGAAATGCACTGTTAACTCTTTATGTATCATCCATATTTTTGCTAGTAACATGAATTGTAATTCTTATTTAGAGGTATGCTGAAACTACATATTTAATGAAATTTTAAAATTTTCAGGTGATTTTTAAAAGTTCTTTTTAAAAAAGTGTTGCTCTGGTGGTACGTTGTTGGACTTATGACCAAATTGGACTTACGGACACACTGTCAGAATGGAACTCGTTCATATGTAGGGGACTTAACTTACTAAGTTTTGCCTAAAGACATTAACAGTTGTTCTTTTGGCTTCTGTTTTTTCTGCAGTGAGGTGGTCTTACTGGTATAATCAGAACAGTTTATTAAGAACTAATCACAAGACTCTTTGTTTCACTGTGTAGCACTGGGGTTCACACTTACACAGGGCTTTGGCAGTCACAGGCACACCTGGTTCCAGTCCCCGTTCGGTGACTTATTTACTAGGTAACCTGAGGCAGGTTACCAAAGCTTGCTAAGCTTATCTGTAGAGTAGGGGGAAAATGTCAGTCTCACAGGGGTGTAAGAACTGAATGAGGTAACTAGTTACCCTACGTCCATTTTAAAGCATATACTGTATAAAAGCTGACAGTATTGGTCTTCATGACAATTATTTTTGTTTTGTTTTTTAGATTCCATATATATGTGTTAGCATACGGTATTTGTTTTTCTCTTTCTGACTTACTTCACTCTGTATAACAGACTCTAGGTCCATTCACCTCACTACAAATAACTCAATTTCATTTCTTTTCATGGCTGAGTAATATTCCATTGTATATATGTGCCACATCTTTATCCATTCATCTGTCGATGGACACTTAGGTTGCTTCCATGTCCTGGCTATTGTAAATAGAGCTGCAATGAACATTGTGGTACATGACTCTTTTTGAATTACGGTTTTCTCAGGGTATATGCCCAGTAGTGGGATTGCTGGGTCATATGATAGTTCTATTTTGAGTTTTTTAAGGAACCTCCATACTGTTCTCCATAGTGGCTGAACCAATTCACATTCCCATCAGCAGTGCAAGAGTGTTCCCTTTTCTCCACACCCTCTCCAGCATTTATTGTTTCTAGATTTTTTGATGATGGCATTCTGACCGGTGTGAGGTGATACCTCATTGTAGTTTTGATTTGCATTTCGCTAATGATTAATGATGTTGAGCATTCTTTCATGTGTTTGTTGGCAATCTATGTATCTTCTTTGGAGAAATTTAGGTCTATTTAGGTCTTCTGCCCATTTTTGGATTGGGTTGGTTTTTTTTTTTGATATTGAGCTTCATGAGCTGCTTGTAAATTTTGGAGATTAATCCTTTGTCAGTTGCTTCATTTGCAAATATTTTCTCCCATTCTGAGGGTTGTCTTTTCGTCTTGTTTATGGTTTCCTCTGCTGTGCAAAAGCTTTTAAGTTTCACTAGGTCCCATTTTTTATTTTTGTTTTTATTTCCATTTCTCTAGGAGGTGGGTCAAAAAGGATCTTGCTGTGATTTATGTCATAGAGTGTTCTGCCTATGTTTTCCTCTAAGAGGTTTATAGTGTCTGGTCTTACATTTAGGTCTTTAATCCATTTTGAGTTTATTTTTGTGTATGCTGTTGGGGAGTGTTCTAATTTCATTCTTTTACATGTAGCTGTCCACTTTTCCCAGCACCACTTATTAAAGAGGCTCTCTTTTCTCCACTGTATATTCTTGCCTCCTTTATCAAAGATAAGGTGACCACATGTGTGTGGGTTTATCTCTGGGCTTTCTATCCTGTTCCATTGATCTATATTTCTGTTTCTGTGCCGGTACCATACTGTCTTGATGACTGTAGCTTTGTAGTGTAGTCTGAAGTCAGGGAGCCTGATTCCTCCAGCTCCATTTTTCTTTCTCAAGATTGCTTTCCCTATTCGGGGTCTTTTGTGTTTCCATACAAATTGTGAAATTTTTTGTTCTAGTTCTGTGAAAAATGCCAGTGGTAGTTTGATAGGGATTGCATTGAATCTGTAGCTTGCTTTGGGTAGTAGAGTCATTTTCACAATGTCGATTCTTCCAATCCAAGAACATGGTATATCTCTCCATCTATTTGTATCATCTTTAATTTCTTTCATCGGTGTCTTATAATTTTCTGCATACAGGTCTTTTGTCTCCTTAGGTAGGTTTATTCCTAGATATTTTATTCTTTTTGTTGCAATGGTAAATGGGAGTGTTTTCTTAATTTCACTTTCAGATTCTTCATCATTAGTGTATAGGAATGCAAGAGATTTCTGTGCATTAACTTTGTATCCTGCTACTTTCCCAAATTCATTGATTAGTTCTAGTAGTTTTCTGGTAGCATCTTTAGGATTCTCTATAGTATAGTGTCATGTCATCTGCAAACACTGACAGCTTTACTTCTTCTTTTCCAATTTGGATTCCTTTTATTTCTTTTTCTTCTCTGATTGCTGTAGCTAAAACTTCCAAAACTATGTTGAATAAGAGTGGTGAGAGTGGGCAACCTTGTCTTGTTCCTGATCTTAGTGGAAATGCTTTCAGTTTTTCACCATTGAGGACGATGTTGGCTGTGTTTGTCATATATGGCCTTTATTCTGTTGTGGTGAGTTCCCTCTATGCCTACTCTCTGGAGAGCTTTTTATCATAAATGGGTGTTGAATTTTGTCGAAAGCTTTTTCTGCATCTATTGAGATGATCATATGGTTTTTATTCTTCAGTTTGTTAATATGGTGTATCACATTGATTGATTTGCATATATTGAAGAATCCTTGCATTCCTGGAATAAACCCCACTTGGTCATGGTGTATGATCCTTCTAATGTGCTGTTGGATTCTGTTTGCTAGTATTTTGTTGAGGATTTTTGCATCTATGTTCATCAGAGATATTGGCTTGTAGTTTTCTTTCTTTGTGACATCTTTGTCTGGTTTTGGTATCAGGATGATGGTGGCCTCATAGAATGAGTTTGGGAGTGTTCCTCGCTCTGCTATATTTTGGAAGAGTTTGAGAAGGATAGGTGTTAGCTCTTCTCTAAATGTTTGATGGAATTCGCCTGTGAAGCCATCTGGTCCTGGGCTTTTGTTTGTTGGAAGATTTTAAATCACAGTTTCAATTTCAGTGCTTGTGATTGGTCTGTTCGTATTTTCTATTTCTTCCTGGTTCAGTCTCAGAAGGTTGTGCATTTCTAAGAATCTGTCCATTTCTTCTAGTTTGTCCATTTTATTGGCATATAGTTGCTTGTAGTAATCTCGCTTGAGGTTATTTTTAGCTCAAATTTATTACATGAATTCTAACTCAAAACCCAAAACTGCCCCCATAATGAAATTTATATTATTTGCACTTGGTTAAAAAGGAATGATACATTCTAAAAAATACCTCCTGTGTGCACTTTAATCTTATGTACTAAGACTCTCTATATACTATTTTTAAATCATAACAAAAACATGAACCCATATTATGTGATCCTAAACATATCCATGCTTTAAAAGGTGACATTTTAGTGTATAATGCTGTGTCAAGCAGTTTAAGCCATAAGGAAGAGACATCGGTTGCATGAAGTAGGGGGGTTTATTGCAAAGATCAGTGGGAGATAACAAATCAAGATACAGATTGAACAGCCGGGATTCCAAGAGACAAACACGGTTTGGGAATTGCTGGAGATCACAGGATCCATGCAGCTCTGGGTATATGGTGCCTCTTCATTCCCTGTGAATCCTATCTGTAGTGTTCTGCCATTGCTCCGTCTCAGATAATTTTCCGTATTTCCCTTTTTATTCTTGTCTGTTTCCAACTGTTGCGCTTTCTCCCTACATCTGAGGCAGCCTGTTGGGTGTGCTTGACCCTCTGTACGCCAAGGGCTGTCCATGGTAGTCTCGCCCTGGGTCCCCGTCTGTCACCGCCAGAGCAACACAGGACCACACAGAGACAACGGGCAGTCCAGGTCGGAGGAACCCCTTAGAGGAGAACCAGGGCTATGGGCATTCCGAGGACTTGCCAGGACAGGCAGCAATGATTAGTTGGGACTGTCTTATTTTTTTAAAAATATTTTTGTGTGTGGTACGCGGGCCTCTCACTGTTGTGGCCTCTCCCGTTGTGGAGCACAGGCTCGGGACGCGGAGGCTCAGCGGCCAAGGCTCACGGGCCTAGTTGCTCCGCGGCATGTGGGATCCTCCCGGACCGGTGCACGAACCGTATCCCCTGCATCGGCAGGCAGACCCTCAACCACTGCGCCACCAGGGAAGCCCGGGACTGTCTTATTTTAACAAAGCAGTAGGTTGCTTTTCCTCATTGAATGGGATGACCCTATATTTCAAAAGATGAGATCAGGCTTTGAGCCACAGTGTGTTAATGAAACAATCATTTCACTTCAAGCACTTCCCCTGTCTATCATTTTCACTGTCAAAATAACTGAAGGGAAGAAATGGATCACTGACCAAGCAGGAACTTCATTGACAGAGCTTCCACAGATGAAACTCAAATGAGATTCTAATATGAAGAAGAAAGACCCTCCCAGAAGTATTCTCGACTGGTTTGTCTTTCATCCCCCAGATACTTAAATGCTCTGTGGGGAAATACATTTGTAGGTAACAAATCACCCTGACAGTAGCAAATGTATCTTTTTCCAATCTCTGAATCAAACTCATAAGCTACTCTGAAAACTGAAGAGGAGTATCAGATAATCATTTGGACTATTTTAAGACCTAGAGGGAAAATATCCAACAACAGTGAAGCATTGATACTTCTAGAGACTTGGTTATGTAATTCTTGATGAAGATCTCGTTGGAAGGTTCCAAAAGGTAAAAGTGGCGTCCTGGAAGCGCACGAATATCAAAACTTCCACTGGTTGCATCTTCCCAGGCTAAAAAGAAACAGAATTATATTCAATAACAAATGACACCACCAACAACAGAAGATTTACTTCCAGATGTTACATTTCTAAGAGCTGCCACCAGTGGTA